GAAAATTCACCCCCCGCCCCATATAAACAGAATTTAAATAACTACTCCTAAGGAAAATATTCTAAGGAATGTCACGATTTGGAGTGAGGTCACTTAACAAGGCAGAATAAAACCTTTATGGTGCTGTAGCAGCTGTTTTCTTTTGGTAGATTATACTTAAAATATTTACCTGATGCATCTACTTCCTGTTATCTCATGATTACTTTCCCACTCTTTGAGTTTTATTAGAGCCTGCAACATTCATTTTAGTGCAAAATAAAGGCATTGCATGAAGATGGACACTCATGTGGGGGATATAATTAATTAAAGGCCAGAAATTAGGTGTTAATGGTGTAAGGCATTTGAGGGGCCCAAGTAATATATTTTCAGACTAGTGTCCCAGTGCACGAATTCATACACATTGAAAGGAAATTAATTAGAAGAAATATTTTAATATTGTTATTCGCCCTTTCTCTATAATAGAAGTGTCAACCAAATTCACAATAGACAATGACAGATTGAAACACACACATGCCATTGGCACCAGCGAGAGCTTTATATGTATTGTGCATGAGCAAATCAACTTAGCCTTTTATATATATAGATAAACTTGCTTAATTAGACCTGCTTTGTGATTTAGCTAAACTTTTTCCAGCCCAGTGAAGCACCCCAACTTCTTTCAGGTAACTGTCAGCAACACAGCAATAAATATCAACATGAAGCAGATTATTATTATAGATCACGCAGGGAGAACAAAGGGTAAGATATTTAACTGTAGCAGTGTTTGACTATATTCTGCACAGTGAGAAAACCTGAAGTCATTTTCAAGTTCCACCATTTCTTACTTCTTTTTAGTCAAGTTTCTAAACTTTCTAAATCTCCGTTTTCTGGCTAATGTAAAGAAAATAGGATTCTACCACCTTTCCTATCTACCTATTCCAGGACTTCTGTGAGGATCAAATGAGATGAGGCACGTGAAACTGCTTCATAAACATTTGGTTAAACTGTAAAATGTTTGCACCTGGCTATAAAGCAAGTCAGGTTCCTGGGCTGAAGAAACTCCAAGGAGGCTAGTCACTAGGGAGAGGAAGCCGGGCGTTACTATGTGACATCATTACCCAGCAACCACAGAGACCATTTCTGGGCTGGGCTGGGCTGTGGGCCGCATTTTGCACCATGGGGTCTTGGCAGTGTTGGCTGCGATTTGGTGGGGTGTCGCTCCGGGGTGGTGGCGGGGCCTGTGTCCCACTTTGGGGAAGCCGAGTGTTGCTTTGTGGGCACCAGGTCCGTGGTGTTTATTTTTAAATGGCCAGTACGTGTCATGGCAGCTCCTGCGTTGAGCGTCTGTCCCCTGGTGGTCAGTGTACGTCATAGCTACCGGTCGAAAGGATGGACACTTAGCCTTTTACATGTATATACAGATATTTCATTATGTTACAATAAATCATCTATAAGATGGTTATTTTGATATAGTGTAAGTGGTATATCAGAATTTCCTTTTTCACTTAGATCTTAAAAGAATATTAGAAGTGTGATAACACAAACATCCAATTAGGTTCTTATTATTAGTCACTGGGAAAACACACAAAATAATCAAGTGTTCTAAGGCATGTATAGGGCCAATAATTTAGAAATTTTCACCATTTTGAGGTACCATGATTTTAATAAATATAATAACAACTGTTTGAAATGGGGGCAAGGTGAACAAACAAACAATAAATTGTAGACTTTTATAAACTATTTGAGAACGTATTTTTTAAAATGATATACGAAAGGAATTTACTTATTTAAAAAAAGTCACTGCTATCCCGCTAAGTTTCTTAAAAAAATAACTTACCTTATATTTAAAATGTAGCCATTTATACAGTTCTTGAAGAAATTAGCAGTAATATAAAAAAAATTAAAAGGCAGTTTTTCAGGGTTAAATGAATCTGCAACTCCAAAACAAACAGGCATGTTGAAATTAACTCAGGAAACATGACTTTCTGTTCCAGTGGGTCAGTAGTTTATTATTTTATAGAGGTTTGGAAGAATTAATGAGTATCAAAATAGTAAATTTAACTCACTCAGCCATAGGATCTGGCACAGTAATTAGAAGAAACTGGTCTTTCAAAATTTCTTGCCTCTATTACTTTCCTTTTCTTAATCTTGCCTCTCACTTAGCCATACATAGTTATAAAAGATACGCTCTGAGCCAGAATTTATGATGGCATGAAAGCTACATATTTTAGATAAAATAAAAAAGGGAAGGGGTGATTTGGTCCTATCTCCATAACTGTTATAAAGAGAACTTAATGTATGCATTTGTTTTTCTTAGATATATTTCTATTTTACTCCTAATACCAAAGGAGCCCTTCCATTTCACATTTTCCTATGAAGTACTTTTTAGTTTTTTGATGCGACTAAGTGGAAAGTGTGAATTTTAAAGCGCATTTCACTGTACACTAACCGCCTGCATCCAACCGATCTGCAGCAGCCTGGCGCCAGACGCAGCCTCCCTGGTGCTCACACAGGGTGAGGATGAAGGCACTTGACAAGAGGCCTCTACGCGGAGTATTTTCTGAGCTCTTCTCAAAAGCCCATCCTAGATTATTTAGTTGACGGATTACCCTTCTCTTTCCTTCCTCTGCCTGATGCTTTGCCCATTTCATTTTCTGCCAAGTCCTCCAGAAGAGACGGCAAGGGAAAGAAATAAAAATGAAACCCATTAATTTTCAATGTCCACAATGAGTCAATTACATCATCAATCATTATGGAATACTGACTTTTCTGGATCATTTTCCTTTAGCAACAAAATTCTTTTAGTCTATACTTTACAACTAGCATTGTCTATGAGAATGCACAGTTTTAAAAAAATATTTAAAGAGCTAACTAACACATTTCCAAAAATATTCAACGTAACTATAGACATAAATGGACATTTTCTTAATTATTATAAATCTGTGCCCGATGGAACCACATTTTGTAATTACCTGTATTGGTAATAATTCATGAAAGATCTTCCATCACTACTAGGAATGGCCACAAGCTGGGGGTACAGTTGATTCAATGAGAATTATGTAGCCATTTGGGCCACTGAAAAGTATTAAAAGCTATTTCCAATAACCATTGTGGACAAAAATGTGAACAAGATAATACAATATTTTGAAAATATTTTAATATTTGCCATTTTTGTTGCTTGTGCTAATAATATATACATTGATTTAGCAATAAATATACTACTGTTACATAGAGTGCAATATTTTTAGTATTCATAATTGGCTGAAATTAATGCTGCATTATCTCAATAAATGAATAAATAAATATCACACCCAAATTCCAAACTAATGCTCCAGAGGTTATCATTAACAAAAACGAAAAGAAATGTATTGGGATTTATCTTTTAAGCATGATTCCTGTAAACATGGCCAAGATCACCTTTCTCAGTCCTAACATTTCGTGTGATAGCTTTAAAACAGTGATTCCCAAAGTGGGTGCTACCGCCCCCTGGTGGGCGCTGCAGCGATTCAGGGGGGGGGGGCGGTGATGGCCACAGGTGCATTTGTTTTAACTTTTTTTGTATTACCTTTCTATTCTGAGTTCAATAAATAGTTTCATAATTTCAAACTTCAATGTTTCTAATTTACACCTTTCTTTACTATATTTTACGAAAAAGGTAGAAACATTAATACATATATCTTTCTGTTTAATTGCTATTAAAATTTTAAAAAAATTAATTTCCAGGGGGCGCTGAGTAATATTTTTTCTGGAAAGGGGGCGGTAGGCCAAATAAGTTTGGGAACCACTGCTTTAAAAGAAAACAGAACATACAAATTCTACCACTTCTTTTTTTGCATAGGAAATGAATTAATCATATTTGTAAATGCAGCAATCTCTCAGTAAAATGTCTTCATCACAAAGCGCTTGTTTTGTGTATGAATTCAGAACTTTTGAGCAATAAAAGTGCTCTGCATAAGTTTATAAAATATGCTTTCTGGATTCAAAATTTAACAGGAAAATTTCCAAATAAGTCATAGTTATGATTTTAAAATATTATGTACATGATATCCAGCCACAGGAGGAAATGCCTCACTGTAGACAACACAGTGTACAAATATAAAGCACAGTGTTGAACAGAATTTCCCTTTAGCTTTTCCTCACGTCGGTGCCTGCGTGGCTGATGGTGACGTTATGCCACACGGCTCAGGCTATTTGTTGCAACAAGGTAGAAGGGGGTGTGAGGACAAACTTAAAATAGATAACAAAAATAAAATGGCAAAAATACAGTACATATGCTTTAACCAGTGCACTTTATAAAATAGTTCGCTTTATTCATATCCTTTTATAAAGTGCAATGTTACCTAAAACAGAGACATGTACCTTAATGGCTCGCAATACCATTGAACAAACTGCCAGGACAGAGCAGTGCAAAGTGAGAAACACGGAGCTGAGCATGCACTCAGATGGGCCCCAGAGACAGAGCCCGGGGCCATGAGTCCTTATAGCTTTTCTTTTACTTTTTGAAAAAGATTAATAGTAGGTTATCATCATATGTAACCATAAAATAAAGACAATAAGTTAAAATCCTCGCTCAGAAATAAGTATATGCCACACATAAAATTCATTACAGAATCTTTTTTAAAACAGACATTTTTTTCTCTGATAAATCCCTGTTGAAAGGGTGCAAATCTCTTAAAAGCCCACATTATCCACAAGGCGAAGCAGAAGGTGTCGCCACTGTAGGAGTAACTTGCCGGCAGACAGCTGAAAGGCCTGTGACTACTCTGCAAGCAGTTCGAATCTGGCCAGCCCCTAATCGCATTTACAGGGGCCTCTGCTCCTTCCAGAACCGTCCTGCTGGCACCAGGTAGGTCACTACACCGTGTAACCCGTGCTTCGTTCACAGTAACGTTCTCTGCCCAGTGCTTTGTTCTCTGCCCAGTGCTTTAGGACAAGGATAACCAGTGGGTTTTCCTGAAAAAATTCCCCAAGAGGCAGATTCCAATGAGACCAGCGAGACTTGTTTTTCTGTTTGGTTGGTGGTTTTTGTTTTTTTGGCTCATTCAGGGTATTTTATTTTCTTAAAGTAGACAAGCTTTGACTTTGACGAAACATCACCTCAGGCATCGCCGAGGGAGCAAAAGTGCCAGGCTCATGGGTCACAGCCCTCCCGTTCCCGTGCCGTTCAGTCCGAGAACTGGAAGAGGGGCTCCGGGTTGTTGCTGTCGGCAGGGTTGCTGGGCTGCAGTGCCTTTGTGGGGGTGGTTTTACCGTGGGAGTGCGAGGACGAAGAATGGGAGCTCTCGCTGGAGCTGCTGCGCGTCTCCGTACTGGTGCTGGTCTTCTTCATCTTCCTTCTCTTAGCCAGAGGGGCCTTGTCGACATTCTGAAGGCAAAACCCCTCTCTCTTGTACTTGTTAAAGGCCTAGGGGAGAGAAAGAAGGGAACCCGATGAAGGTACAAGGATTGAAGATTCCTTGGCAATTATGATTTACAGCAGGAGGTGACTTTGGTTGTCAACCAATAGCTCCAAGTTGCCTGGGGAACAAAGTCCTAAAACCATTGTATCCAAACCTCCTATGGGGTACAGAGTTCACGGGGTGATGGCTGAGGATGCTGCTTAAATCAAACCAGCGTGGCTGTCCGGGAGTCAGGATTCCCATACATCATTTGAAGAAGTTAGCGCTACCTCTCAATAAGAAACACTGACTGACTGGAAATTCCTGAAGACTATCAGCAACCCAACACACCCCTCCCCACACCCCACAGCTGCTACCCTCATTACTCTACAGTTCCCTGTCTGAGATTTAAAATTCTGACCACAAAGACCCAACACAAAACAGACTTAATCCATTATGGGCCCCTGCTCTCCACCTCCAAGTCAATGCAATTGGGCGTTATCTTGGCCAGTTAATCTACACAGAGATCAGGGCTACACACCCCAGGCCGGCTTTAGCCTCTGGGCAGCCTGTCTTCACTTTTCTTAGCCTCAAGCTCTGGCATGGCTGCGTTGCCCCTGACAACCTTGCATCCTGTCACTGAGAAGATATGGATCATCTGCTACAAATTCTTGCAGTTAATCTCTTTATACCTCACCTTATCCTAGTTCATTAACTTTTAAATCAATTTCTGCAGCTGAGAGGAAGCGCTATCCCTCCTTTCTCAAGATAATCCCTTCAGAGGTCACTGTATTTCTCCTTCACTCACTCACCCCTTAGACAACTAGCTGAACGTGTTTGCATCTGCTGGGCACGAATGTGCGGCTCCTGCAATGCCGCTCAGCCTTTCAAACACAACCAGTGCCGAATGCCCGTACCTACTTCTTATCCTTCACGGTCTCTAGAATATATGAGGCCCGAAAGGGTTGCTGAATGAATGAATTTTCACGGGTGCCTTAGTTCCTAGTGTTTATCGTTTTAAAAGAAAATGATTTTGCTTATTTGAGAGAAGAAAGTCCTAGTAGTAGGTACATGGTTTTCATCACCTACAGGAAATCTTCAGCTATTCCAATACCGCCCACTGCCTGATCTCACACACTCACTCCCAACATCCAGGAAGGGCACTGTGGGTTCGCAGTGACTCTGGCCCAGGCACTTGCTGTTTGTAAATGTGTTTGTGTCCTGACATTAAAAGGACTCTTATTTCTTATTTTAACTGTTATTACTCAGAGTGCGTCTCGGAGGTTATCGGGTATCTGATTCCTTTCAAACCCCACACTGCAGAGCACAGGCCCTTACGTGGAAGGTGGCCTTCACGCAGGTGTGCACGGCGGCTCCTGAAGACCCCAGGATGTCGGGAGTCATCAGAGGGTTGGAGGACAGCTGACTGCCGTCTTGGAGCCATTCATTGTATCTCAGGCCAGACATTTTAAGCCTTTTATTTGGATCAACAGTGAGAAGTCCTGTGGGAATAAACAAGACATTTTATTTTGTGATTTGCCATTTCAAACAGTTTAAAATCAACCTCAGATATAAATCTCAATTATGTTCACATGACATGATGGTTTCTATAAGGCTTCAACCTCCTACAAAAATAATTACCCTTTCATATGCTCTTAAATGCCCTAGTGAGCACTGGATGCTAATGAGAAAGCCCACAACAGCCTATTTCTAGGAGGCTGTGGGCTAACTGACTTTTCAATCAGGAGAAAATAGCCACCCCAACAAAGACTCCCCAGGGTGACCGGGTAAACTCCGAATGAGGAAAGAGCTAGACCTCCTTCAGGCCTGTACCAGCACCTTCTCTAACTCAGGGGGTGCGGTCAGGCCCAGAGAAGTGGAAGTGGAGACTCAAAGAGGAGTTCTGAGGAGGCACGAAGACAAGCCCCAGCTTTCACACCACCGGGGACCATGTGCAGGAGGCCATGCCGAGGGAGGGCTCAGCTGAGGGAGCGTGGGCACCCTGGGAAATTTCCAGAAGACAGGTCCTGGGGGATGAGAGAAGTGGGCTCAATGAGGAGGGGTGCGCAGGGATTAAGAAGAGCTAGTGCATAGGAACGCGGGGTGCAGGGACCCAGAAGCTCGGCACAACCGAGGAATCAAGTGTTCACAACGACAGAGGCAGGCAGGGCCCGGTCGTGAAGGGCCTTGAGTTTTCAATGTGCTGTGATGGGGCGTGACCTGAGGTCAGTGGATTCTCTGAAGGATTTTTAACAGAGACATGAGCACATCTGGACATTAGGAAGGTCACTCTGCCGATCGATGATGGGCAGGTGATGTGAGAGGAAGTGAGACAAGTTGGAAGAATGTTGTAGGATCTTAGGAGAGAAATGGTGATGAGGACTAACGGGGCGGCCACGTGAAAGGGGAGAGGGGTGGGAGGAGGGATGCTGAACCCGCAGGAAGCAGTGACTGGCTGTGGAAGGCGAGGAAGGCTGGGAGCTAGTAGGTATCCGGATTTCTGTTTTGGTGGCCTGGCTCCTTGGCAGTGCAAGAGAGGGAGATGTGAGGAGGCACACATTTGGGAGAAAGGAGAGTAAAAAAGTACAGGTTCGGAGAAAACCAAGATGGCGGCATAGGTAAACACCGGTGGTCTGCACACAGGAGGGTCTCAGGTTTGATTCCCAGTCAAGGGCAAGGACCTGGGTTGCAGGTTCAATCCCCAGCCCCGGTTGGGGTGCATGCGGGAGGCAACCAATCAATGTGTCTATCACACATCAATGTTTGTCTCTCTCCTTTTCCCTCACTCCCTTCCACTCTCTAAAAATCAATGGAAAAAATATCCTTAGGTGAGGTTTAACAACAACAACAAAGAGTGCAGGTTCGATGTGGAGGTGCCAGACTGGGATGGTGGTGGATCCAAGTGCTAGTTCGTGTGGAGACAGTGGATAGGATCACTGAGGGAGAATGTTCTGGTAAGAAGAAATGGCACAAGACAGCAGCCTGGAAGCCTTTTAGAACACACTGACTCCTTGAGTAATGAACAAACATATGTGTAATGGCATGACTCCACTTCAATCTCTGCACAGCACATAACAAAATTTCCTTAGATTCTTACCTTGGATCAAATCTTTAGCCTCTTGGGATACATTCTTCCAAGCTTCTCCTTCAAAGGAGAAATCTCCCGTTTTGATTTTCTTCATGATTTCCACTGCACTGGTGCATGTCAAACTTTTGTCATGAGACTGGAATGGAACTTGCCCAGACAACATTGTATACTATCAAGAAAAAAAGAAACAAAGAATGTTTCAACAGTTTATTATGATTGGCATTAATGGGTTTAAAAGATTATGTGGCTTCTATCGCTGAAACAACCAACACCTTTCAAAGACTTGTAAATAAAGAGGAATGGCTTATTATGACATCAAGATTTAAAACCATTTATTTATAATAATAAAAGCGTAATTTTCTAATTAGACTGGATGTCCTTCTGGACAAAGCCGGGTTCCGGGTGCCAGAAGGAAGCTGGTGCCGGCAGCTGGGGAAAGGAAGACCTACTCTTGCACGAATTTTGTGCATCGGGCCTCTAGTATAACTATATTCAGAACAAGAATGAAAAAGGGATACTCTGTTTGAAAAAGAGGGTGTTAAGGTTAACAGAAAATTTAAAGACAGCAGAACCCTGAATAACTATTTTTTCTATCCAATTCCATAGCCTTTCCTTAGGATATTAACTATGGATAAGAACTTAAAACATTTTTTATTTGGCCTTCTTTATTTTGTTTGTAATTATCCCAATTTTAATTTTATTTTTCTCATTGTTGGGTTAAATGTGATCAACTCTCTACAGTCACCTTATTTCATTGTAGCCACATTTGAAATTTTACATGAAAGATCAAAAGTCAATAGAGCCCTGGCCGCATAGCTCAGTTGGTTAGAGTGCTGTGGGTTGATGCCCGGTCAGGACACATACAAGCAGCAACCAATGAATGCATACAAAGTGGAACAACAAATTGACGTCTCTCTCTCAAAATAAAATAAAATAAAATAAAAAGTCAACAGGAAGACCAAAAAGCTAAGTCTTGTCTTTGTAGCAAAGACTGGATTTTTGAAAGGCTACAGAAGTTTAAGACCCTCCTTAAACTTCTTGGAGGGTCTGCTCTCAGCTTGCTGAGCGACTTACAGGCTTGCAGGGGTGAAGGGAGCTGCAGACGGCGGTGGGCGGGCTGGTAGTTAGGTAGTAACCATGTCTGTGCGCAGACCAGAGAACCGCGTGATGAGAAGGGTGGTACTGCCAGTTGGTTGGGAGGGATGTTGAGAGCAGAGCCCTAAATAGGAGGCATGGAGCTGTAGAAACTCCCAGTGACTAGGAGCAACAGCCTTTTTTCTTCCCTGGTCATCTGTCTGACAAGCAGGTGCACTCTCATGATAGCAAAGATGGTGAAGCAGTTCTGACACGCTGGCTCTCAAGAAAGATGGAAATTCTCAGGCAAGGTGATAAATCTATATATATAAAAGCCTAAGCATCCGACCGGTAGCTATGACACACAATGACCACCAGGAGGCAGACGCTCCTACCAGTAGTGATGATACGCACTACCACCAGGGGGCAGACACTCAAAGCAGGAGCTGCCAAGCTGCGGTGACTTGGCATCTGCGGTTTTCAGGTGACGCACATGGAACCAGAGAGGAGGGAGCCCGATTCCAGGGTGTGTCACCCGAGAACCACCCTCTTGCAATCCGGGACCCCTCAGGGGATGTCGGAGAGCCAGTTTCGGCCCGATCCCTGCAGGCCAAGCCGAGGGACCCACCGGTGCATGAATCCGTGCACTGTGAAAAGCAGCTCTGCTGAGGCAGGGCAGTAAGAAGGTAGGACAATTCCCTGGCGAGTGGAATGAGGGAACAGGAGACGAAATAGTTAAATAAGGCTGAGCAATTAACAGCCTGCTAATAAATTGCAAGATCTTATCTTCTCTAACCAAAGACACTTAGGAGCAAATAGTTTACACCTCTCCTCCCCAATCAGTGAGTAGCTTAGATCACCCTGGTCAGGAAGAGAGATCACAGAGACCCAGTTGGTGCCATTAGTGCCAGCCAAACCCCAGGATGGATGAAGTCAGGGGAGTAAATATCAAAAAAGCCCAGTTAGAGACAGACGGATCCAAGATAACAATAAAGCAGTGAAGCTGACCAGAAAAGGATCCCTACTCCCCTATCTGCTCATTCTGATGCATCAGCATATTAAAGGACACACCTGGCAAACTACTGAATATTCTGCTGAGACCCTCCCCTGAGAACTCCCCTAAAACTCCCACCTTTAGGAAAGAGGTAAGAACCCTCAAGACAAAGGACCCTGTGTGCTCTCTCTTGAGCACACTGTGCACCCCCTTCCTCAGGCATGTACTTCTGCTTTCTTTCTCCTAAACTCTAAGGGTCCCCAAGAGACTTACAACCAGGGGAGCAGCAGGCAGCAGCAGCTCATCTGTCCTACAGTTTCTAAATGCTGTGTCATACACTGAATGTGTGTGTGCCTCCAAAACTCATATGTCGAAGACCCAACCCTCTGTGTGACTGTATTTAGAGAAAGGGCCTATATGGAGGTAATTTAAGTTAAATGAGGTCATGGGGTGGGGTCCTGACTAAACAGGAAGTGTGTCCTTTCCAAAAGATGCACCTAGAGCTTGCTCACTCTCCCTGAGGACGAGAGGAAAGGGTATGTGAGGATACCCCCATGCTGGCCCCTGGACAGTGCACTTGCCAACCCCAGAACTGTGAGAAAGTAAGTGCTGTCTGCAGTACTTGTTATGGCAGCCCCGGGCAGACCAGGCAGTGGGTAAGCTCTATGCTAATTAATCCTGCACGTCCATGAGGTAGACTGGGTTGCGATCAAAGCCACATGTGATGCATCTTCCTGAATTATTTGTTTTAGTCAGTGGGGGTAATAGAAATTATTTTCATATTAAAATATCCGCATCCATATTTGCTAGATGCAATATGCAAAAGGACCATAGATTTCTAAGGCAAATCAGGAGACTCCAAATAAGCTTTGGGCTTGCTATGGGATAATTCAGGCTTTGTCTCGGATCTGCAGGAGATATGCATTCATTTATGTGGAAACATTTGCAAAGCACTCTTTTTTCTTGACAATTTAATGCAGGTGTTCACTTTATTTTTCATCTGTGTTTCATTATGCATCTCTAAAAGGCAAGGATTTTTAAAAACCACAATCACAACACCATTATCTACCTAAAAAAATTAGCAGTGATTCTTTTGTACAATTCCATATTCAAATTTCTCCAATTATGTTATATGCCCTGTATATTATAATCACATCTGTATGAGTTAGCTTTAGGTTGAATTTAATAAATAGAATTGAAATTAGAATTTGCTTGAATCAGAATTCAAGTAAAATGCAAACACTGTTTCTTGTCTTTTTAAAAATCTTTATTGTTGAGCCCTAGCCGGTTTGGCTCAGTGGATAGAGCGTCGGTCTGTGGACTGGGGGGTCCCGGGTTCGATTCCGGTCGGGGGCACGTGCCTTGGTTGTGGGCACATCCCCAGTGGGAGGTGTGCAGGAGGCAGCTGATCGATGTTTCTCTCTCATCGATGTTTCTAGCTCTCTATCCCTCTCTCTTCCTTTCTGTAAAAAATCAATAAAATATATTAAAAAATATCTTTATTGTTGAAAGTATTACAGATGTCCCCTTTTTAAAGTGTCATTTAATCTATAAGTTCCCACGCTATTTTTCTTATAATTTATTTGCTGGAGAAACGGGGTTGTTTGTCCTGTGGAACTGTACACAGTCTGGATATGGTGACTGCTTCCCTGTGGCATCATTTAACTGCTTCTCTGTCCCGTTTCTCTTAAAAACCTGTGAGATCTAGAGAGAAGCACGGCTTCTGTCCATACCATCACACAAAGTTGTTTCCATAGAGACAGCATTCAAAAGCTCTAAGATGATATTTTAGAACCGTAAAAAGGATGATGATTTAATTGGCTTATATTTAAAGTAAGGTTCTTTTACAGGGGATAATCTTATATTATTACAAAAAAATGAAAGGTTCTTTTTTATTTAGACATATTTTTTTCAGGAGAGTGCTACTAATGTTTAAGTCCCTAAATAAAACTCTCAAGTCTATAGAAGCTAGTTGTTTATTTTTATTTAAAAAATCTGATTCATAAATTTTAGTTTGAAAATTATAAAGATAACTTAGAATTACTGAAATAAAACCCATGTGAAACTTAAACTAAAAGAGGAGCCATCCTGCAGGGACACCTGGCTAGCCATTAGGGGAAAGCAAGCTGACACCAAAATAAACCCCAGATGGAGTGCTGGTTAAAGTATAAAAATAAAATATAATTCTAGAGGGAAATTTAGGAGGATATTTTTATAATCTAGGATTGGGGTAGAGTGACAATCTGAATCAGAGCAGGTTCCATAAAACAACAGACTGACATATCTTACTACATAGAAATTTTAAAAAACCTTTTCTATTTAAATCCCTCTGAAAACAAAATTAAAATCTCATATTACTCTAAATAAAGTTGTGGAACAAAGGACAAACCAGAAAAACATTTCCAATATTAATGGCAGACAAAAGATTAAAAACCTTAACAGAGCTTTCAAATCTCGTAAGAAAAAGTCCCCACAGGAAAGTGGGCAAAGCTCACACACAGCAATTCCTAAGAGAAAAGTACAAATGTCCAGATACATGAAAAGATGCTTAGACAACATTCATCAGAGAAATGCACGCAAATGACAACAGCAGGAAACAATTTAAGACTGAAATTGATAGTCTTCCATGTATTTGCATATAGTTCGGAGAAGATACAAAAAACCTTCTGGAAGGAAATCCAGGCATAGATTTCAAAATAAAGATGTGTATACCCTTCTCCTAGAAATCTATTCTAAACAAATGTTGAGACAAATGTAAGCACATATATAAACAATATTCATGTGTATAGTTTAAAATTAGTGAAAAAACTGGAAAATGCTAACTTCTCATTAGTAAATGGTTAAATAAACTTTTGAGACTCAAACTACTATCCTCTCATTTTAAAAAACCCACGTATATATGCATGTCTATAGAAAAGCTTATAGAAAGACATAAGGAATACACAGCATGGTGGGGAGGGGCAAAGGATTAGAGGGAGAGGGAGACCATCTCTGTGATGAGATTACCAGTGATCTCACTTTTTTCTTCTCTCTTTCTGTAGGCTCTGAAAATTTCTCCCTAGGATCATGCATTACACCAGTGGTTCTCAACCTTCTGGCCCTTTAAATACAGTTCCTCATGTTGTGACCCAACCATAAAATTATTTTCGTTGCTACTTCATAACTGTAATGTTGCTACTGTTATGAATCGTAATGTAAATATCTGATATGCAGGATGGTCTTAGGCGACCCCTATGAAAAGGTCATTCGACCACCAAAGGGGTCTCGACCCACAGGTTGAGAACCGCTGCATTACACATTATATGCATAAAAAGTAAAGTTATTTTGAAGAAAAAACACACCCAGATGTTGCTAGCTTAATGTTCCCTTTCTGATCACTGCAGCCAAGGACATTTTGTGAAAAGCATGCTGACCAGGATCACTATCAGTCACTATGAACATTTATAATTCTACTATTAACTTGTAATTTCTCCTAAATGATATTCTTTAATTACATCTTTAGTCTCAAAACCTCAAAGAATATATATATTCTCTCCTGAGAATATTTTTCTATTGATTTTGAGAAAGAGTGGAAGGGAGGGGGAGAGATAGAGATAGTGAAACATCGATGTGAGAGACATACATTGGTTGGCTGCCTCCTGCATGCGCCCCAACTACAGGTGGGGATCGAGCCTGCAACTGAGGTATGTGCCCTTGACAGGAATCAAACCCAGGACCCTTCCGTCCGCAGGCCAATGCTCTATCCACTGAGCCAAACACGCTAGGGCTCAAAGAATATATTTTTACTGTTTTTCTACTGAGTCACTTAGCTATTTTCACATTATATCTAACATGCATATCTTTTGAAAATACACTGTCCTTCTAAAAACACAATATATAACTCTTATTCACACAAAACACAGCTGCCTTAAATATTTCAAAATAAACCAAAATCAAAATTCCTACATTTTCTCCAATGCAAATTTTAAGAAAAGGAAACAGCCTTCCGTCAGGCCTCTAACGGAAAAGAAACCAACTTGCCGATTTTGTCATGACTTTAGGAAAACCAGCAGAGAGAGAGGCAGGTACAGAGGACATCTGCGAGCGGACGAGGCGCCAGGCTCCACTGGAATGCACTCACCAGAATGACGCCCAGGCTCCAGAGGTCGCAGGACTCGTCGTAGCCGTTCTGGTTCAAGAGCTCGGGGGCGGCGTAGTGGAGGGTGAAGCACGGGGTCTTGAGAGGCTGATTGTCAGGCGGCTTTAAGCGCGCAAACCCGAAGTCAATTATTTTAATTTCCAAGTTGTCATGTTCATCAGTGAACAGTAAATTCTGCAAGACACAAACGCTCACATCAGGCTCTCACGAAAACGTCACGGGGCTTGGTGATGCCATTTAGGTAAATCATGTCATTACTGGGTTCCGGCACAGGGAGGGTCTGACCGGGAGGGGCTGGGAGCTGGACCTCAGTGTACTGTTGTTCTCTGCTCCGACATGTTTTGTGTTATTTCAACCTGACAATGTCACGGGAAACATTTGTCGACTGCATCGTGTCTCCTCTGACGTCAGAGCCTCTTCTAGGCTTTCCTGGAACTCTGTGTTTGCGTTCTACTTTCTCCACCAACCTCCCTTCCAAGATGGCTCGCGTGAGCCTTCTCTCCATTCAGAGACACCACCCAGTCGTGAATTTGAGATGGAATGAAAATGGGAATATAATTACATAGTCACATGTAAGGCTTCACCACAACTGAAGTCACGGGTGGGGTTCACGGCTTGTACTTGAGAGCCGTCTTCAGCAGATGACTCCGGAGCTCCGCCCCCGGCAGGCGCTGCGCCTCAGGCAGGGCAGGGAGACAAGCACACCTGGCCCCTGGTCATGAGCTACTCGATCTCTGAGAATGACTTCAGCTTATTCCTTATCAAGAATGGCCGTGGACTCCCTGGATCTTAGTCCTGGAAATGGAGGGGATGTAGCATGCCCCTCTCTCCTCCTCTCCCAACTCTAAGAGGAGTGGGGTGTCAACAGTCAGGAATGGGAGGGAATAACAATTCAATCTCCTTGTAGCTTCGTCTCAAGCTCTGCCTGAAACGAATTTGATATAATTTTTCTTCATCTTTTAAGACTATGGGAACCAATTTCAGAAATACAAAGCAGCTTATAAGAATGTCAGCCAGCTTCTAAATTTATCTGATTCTCACCTAGAATTTAGGATTTTGCCTAAGCAGAAAATGAGTGCCACATAAATATCTACCAAGAGATACAGAATCAGATCTTAAAATGCTAAAACACTGGGAAAAGGATTAAATGCTTAGTTTGGAAATAATATACTCTTCCATTTAAAAGTCAAAGTGAAAGCTCTTTTGTTATGAAAATGTTAGTACAAGGTACATTTTCATTTCTCTAAAAAATAATTTTGATTTAGAATTACAACTGTAGTAGAATATCGTAAATAATCTGACAAGTCTTCATTTCAAACGACTATGTGAGAGGAAAGTTTTCTAACAAAAGAAGAATTAAGTATCAGTGAACTAGGAAGGCAAACTAAATCCTGCTGGAGGGACAGTTGCATCGTTTGAGGCTCATGAGATAACAGATGGCCAGTTATCAAAGAATAAAACATGTGAAAACGAATTCTATACACTCATGGAACAGATCTTTTCAACCTAAGAAAATTACATGCTTGTTCCTTGTCTATCAAGAAAACATTTAAGTGGTGTGCTTTCACATTTAAAAATAGACAGCTAATCTCCGATGCACAGAGCGCCATATTTTCAGTGGGCGTTCTGTAGGAGAGTGAGAACTATGATGAAGGAAGCAGAGGGGTAGCTGTCATAGTTGCAAGTTCATAAAGCAAATGTAGTTTTGATGAACCACGAGTAATAAGAATAACAGTAATACCTAATACATAGACTGGCCCTGGCCAATGGGCTCAGTTGGCTGGAGCATCGTCCAGTACACTGGAAGACCACAGGTTCAATTCTCAGTCAGGACACAAACCTAGGTTGTGGGTTCAGTCCCCAGTCGGGGTGTGTACAGGAGGCAGTCGATGCATGTTTCTCTCTCACATCAATGTCTCTCTCTCTCTCTCTCTCTCTCTCTCTCAAAATCAGTGAGCATGTCCTCAGGAGAGGGTTGGAAAAAGAAATAATAGGCTGAAGTTTAAATACTTTAGAAATTGTTCAGTTATATTTGAATGCACATAATTTGATTTTTAAAAACATCCTCTTCATGTCAATAATCTAAGATACTTAAATATAAGGCAAAAATGGTGCTTTTTTTGAGAAATATTCTTTTGTGGTTTAACACAAAAAATAAACACCAAAAAATTAATTTTAAATATACTTAAAAATGCATTATAATTACCTGGGTAATAAAAATGATGTTCCATTTTAAAGAGAAAATATGTACAATTTTGCATAGGGTAAAGGATGACTCATTGTTATTATTTTATAAATTACTGGGTTTTGCTTTTAAATTTTCATTATTATTTTGATGGTTTTCTGAAAGGGAGGAACTTTCTTACTTTTGATACTAAAAAGGGACCATTCTGTAGCTAGAACCTTCTTAACCTTTTAATGAAAAGATATGTGAAAAAGCTGCTATTTCTGCACCACTACACAGTTCTATAAGTACATGAGCAAAGAAGAGCACATATAAGGATGGTGTAACTGATTAAACCAAGATCATTCTTTGTGCTTAATATTTAGAACAGAATTATATACGTTCCTATTCATGAGCTAATTGATTTGATTACAAATGTGAAAAATAAGCATTCAAAATATGTGAAAACGAATTCAAAATATACCACTAAAAACCCCCCTCTAGCCTGGCCAGTGTGGTTCAGTGGTTGAGTGTCGACCCATGAATCATGAGATCACTGGTTCAATACCCGATCAAGGTACATGCCGGGGTTTCGGGGTTGATCCCCACTATGGGGTGTGTATCAATGTTTCTCTCTCATGGATATTTCTATCTCTCTATCCCTCTCCCTTCCTATCTCTAAAAATCAATTTAAAAATGTATATAAAAATTGTTTAAAATAACCCTCTAAAATGGTATAGATATAGAGGGGATATTATTTTCTGCTACAAAAATTTCCATTGCTATTTTTAGTCCACAACTGTTGCATAAAGTATTTCGCCCATAAAAGGCTCTCACACTTACAAATATAACCTCAAGATGATCAGCAGGCAAAAAAAAAAAAAAAAAAAAGACGAATTTATTTTAGGCTGAAATAGAAAATAAAAAAATCCAAGAAACATGGTATTTCCAGGTATGTATTTAGCAGAAAGCCCTGAAAGTAAGAAAGCCCACACATCTGGGGGATAGTTAATAATGAGGCTGGATGGAGCAATGTGAGAGAATGTGTTCTTCTATACCTCAGGCTTCAGGTCTCTGTGCACCACTCCGACGTCGTGCATGTGGCTCACAGCTGAAACCAGCTTCCGCATGATGTAGCTGGCTTCGGTCTCACTGAAGTGCTTCTTTTTCTTAATGCGTTCAAACAGCTCTCCCCCGTTCAGAAGTTCCATAACTAGAAAAGTGTGAAGCTAGAAAACAAAGAAGAAGAATGTGGAGGGCCTTAATGAAGAAAAATGTATTAATATATGAAACATTTATTGACTATAAACTATCACCAGTAAATTTAAATAATCCTTTGTTGCAGTCATCAACAGCAATCCTGTGTTTTAGAAGAAAGAGCTGAAGGGTACTGTGGCTTTTTTAGAATTCTATTTTGGTAATGGAAAATTTCAAGTACTGCAGTGCAGTCTATATATTCTTCTCTTGATGAATTCTTTCATTTGAATTTCATTCTAACCCTCTCTATCAAGTTTACATATCTTTCTTGTTAAAGTGTGATCTAGCACTGATAATGTAAAATTGGCTGCTTTAAATAATATACAAGATTCCTGATAAAAGGCGTTGTTTGATGATGCCACTTTAAACCTCCTGTTAGGGCTTAACAGATAAGCTTTAGAGTTCCTGGCAATACCGATGGCCAACACCCATAACTTACTGTAGGTTGTTGTTTTTTAAATAACTGCTTTTGATCCAAATGGCATTATCTTAATTAGTTTAATCAGTTATATACTTACTAGGCTTTCCATAAAGAAAATAACATAGCTATCAAAAAGCAAAGGAATTATATTAGCCCTCAAATTAACACATATGGTTTTAAAAATATATTAAATCAATACTCCTAGCACCAACGTCACTCAAAAACCAAAATATTTATGTTTCCCTTTGAATTAGCAAAATCCAGAAAACTTGCTTCATAAAAAAGACAATTATAAATACATCATCTTGCATATATTGGGTAAAATGTAAAGAGTGGACAACCTGCCCTAGCCGGTTTGGCTCAGTGGATGGAGCGTCAGCCTGCGGACTGAAGGGTCCTGGGTTTGATTCTGGTCAAGGGCACATGCCCAGGTTGCAGGCTCAATCCCCAGTAGGGGGAGTGCAGGAGGCAGCCTATCAATATTCTCTCTCATCACTGATGTTTCTATCTCTCTCTCCCTCTCCCTTCCTCTCGGAAATCAATAAAAATATATTTAAAAAAAAAAGAGTGGACAACCCTTTTAGTAAGAGAACTGTTCTCAGGTTACTAGCGATCAAGCCAATTTGAGTTTCTACATCAGACAAATAAGGTCAAAGTTGAAGTATATGCCTGTGAGCTTTTAAAAAAGATGGAGGGCAGCCTGGCAGGTGTGGCTCAGCGGCTGAGCGTTGACCCATGAACCAGGAGGTCACTGTTCAATTCTGGTCAGGGCACATGCCTGGGTTGCGGGCTTGATCCCTATTAGAGGGCATGCAGGAGGCTGCTGATAGCTTATTCTCTCTCATCTTTGATGCATCTATCTCTCCCTCTCTTTTTCTCTCTCTGAAATCAATAAAAACATATTTTTAAAAATTATTTTAAAAAATGGAGGGCAATACCTACCTACTCTATAGTGGCTTAAAAGATAGGGATTGGAGTAAAAACTGGATCTGAATGCCAATTTTCTTACGACACTGGGAATATTACTTTACCTCTATGAACTACCTTTAGGATCCTTACAAATTAAATGTCAACAATGAGAAATGTTTATGTGACAGCTTGACTAACAGCCCTCCCAAGACGCCTCTAGTCTACTCCGCAGAACCCGTGGCTGTTACCTTGTGCGGTAAAGGGACCCTGAAGTTGTGAAGGAGGATCTGGAGATGGGGAGACTACCTCAATCATCCATCAGAGTCCACAGTATGAGATGGGGCTATGGAAGCAACAGGTGGATGTGATGCGTGCAGGGTTACAAGTCGAGGAAGTGGGCCCTCTCTAGAAGCTGAAAAAGGCCACTAAATGGACTGTCCCTTAGGGCCTCCAGAGGGAACCAGCCCTATCAGGTGATGTGTTTGTACTGTTTAGGTTTGTGGTACTTTGTCACAGCAGCAATAGGAAACTAACAGAGTCGTAAAGCACGAATCCTAGTCCATAAAATGAATTATACTCTAGCACAGTCAAGGGTGCAGTCCCGCCCGCAATCAATTTCACCCAGTCGTAGAAAACAAGACTGCGTGGACTGGGGACAATCTAGCCACCTGTCACCATCATGGGTAAAACAACCCAAGATGTCAACTGCATATTGGAATGATAATATGTTTATACCAGTACCTACAGGATTATACCATGAGATAATTTATGGTCTAGTAACTCTTGAATCTAAAAATAGCACCTAATAAATATAACTTGAGACTTAAAAAATTCAGGATGCAGTTCCTGAGATCTGACATCAGCCGAAAGGTCAGAGATTGAACGTCTTGGCTGGGAGGTGGCGGGGGGACAGCTGCAAAACCACAGGGGTGGGTGTGGAAGGTCCTCGACCAATCCCATGATTGATGTGTGAATCATCGCCTTCAGCAGATGGTCCAGGCTCTTCCCAAGCTCCCCACCCCGGACAGGGATTGTACCACCTCCACCGTAGGTGACGAGCCCAAGAGGTGGAGCAAGGAGAGGAGCAGGAAGGGCGTTCCCTACTGAGTTCTTGCTACAAAGATGTTCCTTTTCTGGCTATGAGAACAAAAGGCAAGGAGACAATGAGATGATTTTTGCTTACCCACCTGATGTGAGAACCAGCCCGTGTTTCTGCCTCCCCTTTGGCAATAGAGCAAAGTAATTAAAAGCTTGCTCTGAAGTTGAGCTGGCTGGGTTCAGATCCTAGCACTAGCACTTACAAACTGTGAGACTCTGCCCTGTTCCTTAGCTTCTGTGGGTTTCTGTGTTCTTACCTCAGTGAGTTACTGCAGGGACTGAATAAGACACTCCATGTAGAGTGTCTGGTACAGTGCCTGGACCACATGAGGTATGATAGCACACAGCCACAGTTTTTACAGTTATGATGCTGCTGCTGCCTGGTTTCACCGGGATGTATCACTGTCGGGTGCAGCACTTGGGGAAATTTCAATGTGGAGAGAAGTGGACCACAGCTGTCCTAGGACAGGGATGTTACCGTAGTACAAGGGGAGGGCCCAGAGCCAGAGACCAGCCTTTCCCAACAAGGTTTTCACTGACTTGCTATGTGACCTTGGACAAGTCTCATGACCCTTCTGAATCCCAGTTTCTTCTTTGGTAAAACCAAAGTCTATTTCCTTAGATTTATTAAATTTAAAAGGGAGTTTTAGCTGGATTTAGCTCTTGTGCCCAGCATGTTGTCTTGAGCAGGGCTGTGTCCCACCCAGACCCAGAGGAATTTCTGCCCTGGAAGGTGGCAATGGAGGAACCGGGGAGGAGACAGGGGCCTGACACAATGGCGCTCCTCTTGTATCCCAAGGTACATGCGTCTGTCAGGATTCTGTTAAAAATCGGAGCTGGGAGTAGAAGAGGGAGCAGCAAGACATGGCCTGGAATGAGAAGATGAAAGGGAAGTCTCTTTGCCTTTCTGCTTCCTGTTTGTACTTTAGCTTGCTCCAATTAGGCTTAAGGTTCTCTACGTTCTATTTTAGAAGTAAAAGGAAAGTCGAAGGCTGAATGTTCCTGAGTCCTGAGAGGTCTGAGCGACTGAGCTCCGGTGGGAGCAGCTGAACTGGTGTTAGCAGTGCGGCCGGCGGCAGTGGCCTCTGTCCTCCTGCCATGTCATCTACCGCTGCCGCTGAAGGAGAAACGCGGAAGCGAAAGGTCGCACTGACTTGGGGGTGGGGAAGAGAGTGGAGGGGTTGGTTTCTCTGCCCTCTGTAGTGGCTGGTGATGTCCCATATTTTTAACTCTGACCCAGGAGCACCAACAAAGCTGGTAAAAAAGTAAAAACTCGAATGTGAATTAGTATGCACAGAAGAGGACTGTGGACTACCTGATCATGAAAAACTTCGTGCAATTTCACGATATTGGGGTGTCCTTCACAGAGCTTCAGTGCTGTTATTTCTTTCTGAGTATTGGCTTCCATCCTACGAGATGAAACAGTTAGTCTCTACAAACCTCTGCGCCAAGTTTTATGTCAGTGCTGCTCCAAACCTCATTTTGTTTTTATTTACAGTGTATTCAGAATATAAGTGTCAAAGTATGAGAATGAAGTTTCCATGAAAGTAATGAGTCATACTACCCACCAGAACAAGCAATGCATTATTCTGAGAAAAGACTGTTTCTGAGTCAGAAAAGAGCTAATCACACGAAGAAATGGATGCCCTTCTTGCCCGACAATTTGGTAATAAGAATATATGATTATGGAGGTAATAACCAGTTACCAAAACAACCTGCTGGCTCTCAATGCTACCAGTAGGTTGCTAAATAATTATTTTTAAAAAAGTATTTCAAATAAACAACGAATAGGCATGACAACAGCTGCTGAACTCACTAAGCCAGTTTGATTAAATATCACTGCCATGGGAGTTTTCTCACAGGAAAATCAAAAGCCTATCATACTACGATTTATGTCTGAAATGGATTCCTTTATCTGAAAATATCTATTAGAGTTAGAAGCATAACGGATCAATTGAGAAGCCAAATGGCCAAACCTGTGGGTAACAAGCCTTATAATACATTGTTGATTTCCTTTTAAATAAAAGTCTTAATTTATAGAATCCACAGACTAGGATCCTATATAACAAAGAGGTAATATGCAAATTGACCGTCATACCCTCGCACAAGATGGCCACTCCCATGTGGTCACAAGATGGCCGGCAGGGGAGGGTGATCAGGCCAGCAGGGGAGGGCACTTAGGGGTGACCAGGCCTGTAGGGGAGGGCAGGTGGGGGCGATCAGGCCTGCAGAGGAGGGCAGTTGGGGGTGACCAGGCCTGTAGGGGAGGGCAGTTGGGGGCGACCAGGCCTGCAGGAGAGGGCATTTGGGGGTGACCAGGCCTGTAGAGGAGGGCAGTTGGGGGTGACCAGGCCTACAGGGGAGGGCAGTTGGGGGTGACCGGGCCGGCAGGGGAGTGGTTAGAGGGTGATCAGGTTGGCAGGCAGAAGCGGTTAGGGGCAATCAGGCAGGCAGGCAGGCAGGCAGGCGAGTGGTTGGGAGCCAGCAGTCTTGGATTGTGAGAGGGATGTCCGACTGCTGGTTTAGTTGGCAGTCAGACATCCCCCGAGGGGTCCTAGATTGGAGAGGGTGCGGGCTAGGCTGAGGGACAACCCCCCCAGTGCACAAATTTCGTGCACCAGGCCTCTAGTGAATACATAAGAGAAACTGCCAGAAATGGTCATACCTTTTGCTGATTATTTTGACTGCAAATGCTTGGTTACTTTTTTTGTGTATGCACTTTCGACAAATTGAAAAACTTCCTTCTCCCAGTGGCTTGTCTTTCAGATCTAGGTCATAGTGCTGATAGAATGGAGAGTCCTGATAGGAGACCAACATCATTTAACTTAAGAAAATATCAGTAACACACACGGGGTAAATAAAACTGCAAAGTAATAGGACATTATTAATGTTAATAAATATAAATGGAATACATGCGTGGATCATCTTCTAAAATTCATCTTACTTTAGCTCATTTCTATGTTCATCTGTATCATTGATTTAAGTCACATAATTTTTGATCATTGTAAAAAGGAGCTCATTCACACTGATGTTAATAATTCTCTAGGGCAAATAATGCTATTCCATTTATTCATTTCTTAAAACCGCATCTTGGTCGAATGGTAAGTCTATTAAGTTTACTGGCCTTGAGAATGTTAATCAGTATTAGTATCTAAACCATAAATATGTCATTTAATTAACCACATCTATATACCTTGATCATTGCACTCCTGGCAACATTTGTCGCCCCAGGACGTTCCACTCCTGTGTGACACTGAAGAGGATCTACAACAGCTGCGTTGGGCTTGAAGAGAATGGAAGGAGCAACGAAGGAATAGCCCTAAAAGTCAAAAGCAAAGGTGAGAATACAGATTTGCAATTTTCCAGTTTAGCATAGACTAGACTGTAATAATCTTTTCTTAAGTCAAGAAAAAAGAATAAAAAACACTCAAATATTCGGTAAGATAATTCTAATTTTATTGTATTTGTAATCTAAAATGCAAGATTATTTCAAATTAATAGAAAAATGCTTTCCAGAAGGAGATAATGCCATCTTCTGGTAGAACTAAACCAATTCAAAATTAAAGGCAGAAAAATACCTCTCCTCAAAAAAAAAAAAAAAAAAAAAAAAAATACCTCTTCTCTATTTCACACCAAAAATCTGACTCATAGGTGTAATTCTTTTGCATTGCTGATAAAAGTTTATTTATAAACACAACTAACTTCTCAAAAAAGGTCGAGTTAAGGTATTAAGCAAAGTGGTCCAAGTGCCACTGTTTTCCAAACTAGAAAAAAAAACAAGTTACATTCCAGTTGGTTTCGAAGTCAGCAATTTTTTGACTGATTCTATTTCCTTAGACTCATTAAATTTAAAATTAAGTTTTAGAAAAGGAATAAAATCAAGTGGCAGAAGGATGTCTTGAACCAAAAGTGACATAATGATGGATGATTAATCTGTTCAGGCTAGAACATTCACTAGTTCAGTGAACATTTTCTAAATACCTACTATGTGCCCAGCCAAGTGCTAGACATTCGTGTCACGAATGTTCAGAGACATGGTCTGGATGGCCAGGTGCAGCCATACTTATTTGTGGAAGTCAAAGGAGGGAAGCTATGATGCCACTTAATAGAATATTTCATCTTAAGTCTGAGAAAGATTCTTTTCTCAATACAAAATCCTTTCTAAACATTTTTTGAGCAGTTAAGATTATTCACTGAAGACAAAGAATCAGATAACATTATTTATGAACTAAAGAATCTTTTATATAAATAGGGATAAAATAAAGTAGTATTATGTTTTCTATAAAAGAGTCTGAACTGAAATAAAATTTCAGGGATAAAAAATCAAGTTTTCCTATAAAAAATAAGCACATAAACAATGTTTGCTATTTAACAAACCATAAGCTTTAGTTAACAATGTTTAAATCTCTGTATTTAAAATTTTTGAAGATTCAAAGCATGCCTGGCCAACGCACATGCACAGCCTGGAGCTCACCTGAAACAGCCTCTCGGAGTTCTGGGGCAGCGCTGCCGGGGAGTAGGTGGGATCCATTTCTGTGAACTCTTCTGCAAAGTTACTCACATCTAATTCATCTCGGATGACTGGCTTAAATGGTGCGGGCACTTTTTTGGCAGCTAAATCATCCCAATTTATTTTCTAAAACAGAGGAAGAAAGTTAGTACAAAATAGAAATCAGCAAAGTTGAAATATATTTCCTAAGAATAACAAAGCCGGATTAGGATTTTAATTGATCATAGAAAGAGGCATATATTTCAAAGTAATGATTAAATATATATATTTATAAGCATGAGTATATTTCTGATGGCAGCTTAGCAGAGCCTGACATGGAGTCTCATTATGTCCTCTAGGGGGCACCAGGGCACCCTAGTTTACCCTTAGGGACAACAGAAAAGTAACTTTTGTTCTGAGCCTCCAGGGAAAGTTTAAGCCAAAACAAAACAAAACAAAGCAAAATAAAACAAACTCTAATGAAGGGCTTTAAGATGCCCGGTGACTATGGCCATAAAGTCTAAAGGCACATGCCTATTCTCTAGAGGCAGTGTTACTTAGCTTTCCTCCTGGTCATCTGGACAGATCAGAAAATAAACGCAGCACAAGGCATGTATTTACTTACATCTATAAGCTTAAATGATACTATCGTATTGATGAATCACTCTTTCTCATTCCACTGTACTCATGCCTCTTAAACACTGCCTCTTCTCTTCCCATGGGATAATCCAAGCCCCCTTTCCACACATAGCAGACACTCACTGTCTGATAAATTGCTGCTTTATATTACTCAGATGCAACCCTCTGCTCTTTTTTTATGCTCCTTTTGTCACTTAACACAACATCAGATAATGCTTTACGAAACTGCGCCCTACAGATATCCTATTCAGATATGTCTTCAAGTCTAAGATGTCATCATTGATAGTAAGATATTACATTATGCACCATTAAGAAAGAAAAAGCAGCCCTAGCTGGTTTTGCTCAGTGGATGGAGTGTTGGCCTGGGGACTGAAGGGTCCCAGGTTCGATTCCGGTCAAGGGCACATGCCCAGGTTGCAGGCTCAGTGCAGCGGATTGGTGATTCTCTCTCATCATTGATGTTTCTATCTCTCTTTCTCTCTCTCTCCCCCTTCCTCTCTGAAATCAATAAAAGTATATTTTAAAAATAAAAAAAAAGCATTACCAATTAGAGCAGTGAGATGATGTCTACTGAAAGATGTATACTGATTTCAGAGAGGGTAAAATGTGAAACCTGCATTTCTAGGTTGGTGACATTGTGTAAGTTCAATCAACTAACATAAAATGTTTTTATTATGCCCTCTTGTGGAGGCAATGGAGATAAAATCATTAAGCTGCTCGAATTTTTCAGCTAGAATGGTTTTAGAGATCATTTAATTTATCTCCTTTATTCGACCCAGATGGGAATTGAGCCTGGGAATAAGAATTAACCATTTCACTTAAACATTAGCTAGTGGAAGGGTCAGGATTTGAACACAGTCTCTTGACTTCCTACTAGTGTTCTTTCCTCTGTGGCTGTAATGTTTTCCATTTTATGATTTGTGCTTGGCTACTGTACATACATTAGGAGAAACTTCTAGAGTAAGGAGGTAATTTAAAGAAATATGCTGTTAGCAGGAGAATGTTTATTATATAGAAAACTGAATGCTATTATAACCCTTTCCACCTCTACTCCATTTAGGTCTTTAAAGTAGAATTCTGGTTTTTCCTTAAGTCTCCTTATCATTTAAAAGGTCAAGGCAATTAAATAACCTAAAATTACTATTCCAAGCTAGAGAGAAAAGAATTTTCTCTAATATGAAGGATATGTTGTAATATTCACAAATACAGGGAATCGTGGAGAGAAAAATTCTAGGAAAATCTGATTGGAGATATTTTGTTTGAATACTTTTTTGAATTTTATCTTATTAATTTTTGAGCCAAACTTCTGAACAAGATATATGAAATCGTTTGTTCAACTGTTAACTTTCCTATGCCACATGCATCTATGAAATGTGCATACTGAGAAATTAATTTTATTCTAAATGTATTTGCCGCTATGTATGGAGACTGAAATAACTGCACTTTTTTGAGCACCGAAGTAGAGATAATTCTTACTCTCAATCACTATTTGTTCTTCCATATTTAAAAACAATAAATAATGCGAAAGCTTACTCTACAGCAGAGTTTTTTTCTTTGCATCGGTAGCTATTTTCGTTTGTTTTGGTGCTAATAATGTAAAAGTTCAGTTTGCAGAATAAAAATAAAACTTGGACGTCCCTTTAGACCAGAAATATTTAGGTTATGCTTGTTGATATGATGAAATTATTTAAAAGCCAGAAGCTCGAGGTATTAGAAATCAAGGTCAGAGTATCCCAAGTTGACCATTTAGACTGAAATAATTGAAACAGCCAACTCAGTCAATTCAACTTTTTCCCCCCAGTTATCTAACATTTTGGGGGGTTTTCTGGGGACAAAATTGAGCAAACTGAGTTGAGCAGCTATATTGGTATCCTGTGGTGTGGTCTCATTAGGCATCTTTAGAATAGAAAAAGCACTTTCTCAAGTACAAAGAAAATAAATGAGTGATTCTCTATGTGTTATAGACATGTCACTAAGAAATAGGGAGATTTCTAAATTCTCTGAGATTTCTCTGGGAAAAGAAGAGATAAAATCACTATCTAAAAGGTACAACACAGGGATCATGAACTGAGAGAGAAGCAAAACATATAATAAAAGTCTCCTTAGTTCATATGCCTAAATCTTGTGATCATAAATGGAAGCTAATACTCAGAAACTCTAACCAATTAGTATGTAAAGAATCAAATGTTACTATGATCCCCCCCGCCCCCCAACTCCTGCTTCATTTAGGGAGAAAGAGACCACTAGGTCTCTACCAGTCGAATTTTGATCCTTCCTAAAAGGTCCCTGTCACTTTAAAAAAGAAAAAGTGCCATGTACATGAAAATAGGGAGAAAACAACTCAAAAGAGACCATGTTCACTCATTTCACCAAGAATGTTGAACAGTGAAATCAGCAGGGCATAGATCTGCTCAATAACTTTCACCTGAAAAAAGAGATGCTCTTTGATTTCATCTGCATCACGCGGACCACATCCCAATCTTTTCTTAGGATCTTTCATCAGAAGACGCTGAATTAAGTCTTTAGCTAAAGCACTCATATCTTGGGGGTACGGAGGCTCACTTTTTAATATTCTCCTGTAGGCAGATAAAACTTGTGGTTAAAACGATCAGAGGCCGAAGCGACAGTGACGGTATTCTTAGCAAAAACAAGAAGAGCACAATGCACTTGGAAATTGAACAAATGTGAAAAACATACACAAGGATATTTAAAATATGAAATCAAATTTATGAAACTTAAATAAGCAGAAACAAAAAGGACTGGATCCTTTTTCAATATAAATCAATACTAACACGAAGCCACCACCCAAATATTTAATTGGGAAGAAATGAAAAGGAAAGCTTGGGGCCAGACAAGACCAACTACCTATGGACTAAACCCTACGATGAAAGATTTCACAATGGAAGCAACTCTTAATAAATTCAGGGAAGTAAGTTCAGTATCCAGATTTGAAAGGACAAACAAAGCCCCGAACCATACCCGCCTCGCTTGTCTTTCTCTGCATGCCAGCAAACAGAAGGGGCCAGCGGGAGAGCAGTGGGAAGGAAAACTGAAGTGGGGAGTCAGACCACCTGGATGTGGCTCTGCTCTTGGTATCTGAACAGCCCGGGCTTCTGCTTCACTTCCTACCACAATGAAACAGACAGGCAAGCTCTGGAAGGCAAGTGCCACTCAAGGGCAGAGTCAAGTCTGCTCCTTATTATGGGAAGTAAAAAATGAAGATAATCCAGCCCCTTGATGAAATATCTGAATTTATTCTAAGGTCACAGAAGAGATCAATCCAATCCAAATAAATGTACTTTTGCCCCCCTGCAAAGGCAGATCAATAATTTTATGAGAAACAAAAGAGTGGAAGGGACATAGAAATTAAGAAGCTTAACACAATCATGGAGATACACAGTTATTCATTATATGGGTTTACAAAAATGCCCCCTGTTGTGCATTAAAATGAGTAAGTTATGGGTCAAAACAGATAAGTTTATAAGACAGTACAGTGTGGTAAGAACATGGATTTTGCAGCCAGACTGAGTTCACTCTCAGAGTTAAACAAGTTCTGCTGCTTACTGGCTGTGTGACCTTGAGGCAGTTCATCTCTTTGTATCTCGATTTTATCAACTGTAAAATGGGGATAACAACATTATCTACCTGAAATGGGTATTACGGCGTTTAAATGAGCTAAGATAGGATGCACAGCACGAAGCACAGCAAATGCTTGATAAAATGAGCTACTGCTATCCTATATAATAAAAGCCTAATATGCTACGTGCCCAGTTGTCCGGTCAGTCATTCAACCAATCAAAGCATAATATACTAATGACATGCAAAGGCCGCTCAATTGCTCACTATGAGGTGCACTGACCACCAGGGAGCAGACAGTTGACCAGTCGACCAGTCACTATGACGTGCACTGACCACCAGGGGGCAGACAGTCAACCAGTTGACCAATCGCTATGACATGCACTGACCATAGGGGGCAGGTGCTCCAACTGGTAAGTGAGCTTGCTGATGGGGTCCAGCTGATTGGGACTGAGCAAGACGGGCCGGACACGCCCTGGAGCCCTCCTACGGTCCCTCCCCAGCCCCAACCATGCACCGGTGGTGGGGTGCCTCAGCCTGGCCTGTGCCCTCTTGCAATCCAGAACCCCTTGGGGGATGTCGGAGAGCCAGTTTCAGCCTGATCCTGCAGGCCAGGTCGAGGGACCCCACTGGTGCATGAATTTGTGCACCGGGCCTCTAGTACTTCCATAAGTGGAGACTGTAGCAGGTAGCCCCTGAGAATCTGTAAAACAACGGTGGAACTGTAAATTTTTACTAAAAACTCCAGCAGTGCTGTTCATTGCAAAGCTACTTCAATTTCTAGCACTCCATCTGGAGAATGTAGGGGATGACGGTAGAACAAGTGAAAAGATGAGCAGCGCCCTCTTGTCATCTCAATTCTTTACATTCTTCCATTGCTCACTGCTCAGCAGGATTTTCAGCATCAGAGACAATCCTCCCCTCAGATCAGGTGCCCACATGTCTGACAGAGAAAACAGGAGCCCTGTCCTCAGGGAAAAACAAGCACTGCCTTTTCCATTTCCCCACCTTGAATGTGCCTCTGCTCCGCAGGCAGGAATGTGCTGTGCAAGAGGATCAGAATAAAGACACATGGCTGCAGGCATTCTTTTCTGAGCCCTGGACCGACATCCTCTGAGGTTCTGACTCTAGACTATTACTTCCTCAACCCCAGTCATCTGCCGTTGACTGCAAGTCGACTCTGTGCTGGTCACTGGGGAAAGAAGTGGTCAGTCATGTGGACCCACGGTGGGTTCAGCCACAAAAGGAGGAGCTCTGAGAGAGCAGTGAGCGCCTGAAAACAGGGATGGCTCACCGAGATGCCAGAACTGGAGGAAGAGCAGGAGACCTATGCACACCCAGGGCACACAGAACGCATACAACCAGGGTGGGTGGCAGGTGCAGGGAACAAGAGTTCTAGATTCGGAGGAAGCAGGGATCGGGTTGGGAAGAAACTGAGCGGAAATCTGAAGGAATTCCTGTCGAAAATATGCTGATGAGGGAACATGGAGAACAGTATGGTAGCCCCAAATCCTCAACTTTCCCAAGTGAAAGTAATATGGCCAGAACCAGCAGCAGTAGAGCCTTGCAGATGATGAGGCACCACCATTCCAGCTGGGAGCAGTGAGAGCAGGAGCCACGTAAGAGACTCCTCCTCAATGTGGCGGTAAATAGAGTGGCCCAGGGTCTCCTCAGCAGGTGCGGAGGGCTGACGCCTGTTCCTGGTAGGACACTCATGCCAGGAAGAGAAGCAGAAATTGGGGTGGGGTGGAAGAGAGGGCTCCTAGCAGGCTTAAACCTTTTCTCCTAGGAAGATGACCTTGGGTTTACCTTCTTACACAGTTTCCTTGAAATGAATGAATCACATCAATGTGAAATGTCAGCCATGCCTGGTTATTGTGAAATAACCCAAGAGGTGACCTGCACCTGGCCGGAGAGGTGGGGGCAGGCACGTAAGCCCTGAAGGTTGTCTGGCTCAGGGCTGTTAAAATACTTCCAGCAAACTGTGTGTTATCTCTTATCCCCAAGGTGTCCGTGTGGGGGCTTGGCAGCTGCGCTCATGGGAGCTGTACGATGCCGTTTCCGTGTTGAGCTTCCCATGCTGGGGTGGTCCACACCCACCCACTTAATCTCATCGCTAATGGCTGAGTGTGCCTTTCTGGGCTGGGAAACCAGGCCGAGGCGGTGGGCAGGCCAGGCCAAGGGACCCCACCGGTGCACGATCAGGGCCAGGGAGTGTCCACAGGAAGGCTCCAGGGTGTGCGCCCAGTCCCGATCGGCTGACCCCAGCAGCAAGGTAACCTACAGGTTTGATGCTGTCATGCTGATTCACTCTGCTTCCCCACCCATGTCCTGCTAGAAAGCTAAGTCAAATTTCTGCCCTGTGTTTCATTCAGGGCTCTAAACCCTCCACCGTCCTAGAGAGTGCTTCAGAGGGCAAATGAGTAATACAGTATGATCCAGCTCTACCCCACATGCAAGTGAAGCAGACATAAACAGATCGAAAGGATGATGAAAGAAAACAAGGAAAAGAAGGCTGAAGAATATGAGTACCAAGGGAGGGTCGTTTCACTCTAGTCTCCAGCTGCCACAATTGGTTCGTGTGGAATAATGTGTAGATGAATAGCTACTGTGACACACATTAATAGATTTGGGAGTAATCAGCAAAAACAACAACAAAAAACCCTGGGAACACAGATGTTGCTATTGGGTACATAATACCTAAAATGAGGAAGAAAAGAAAAAATGTAACAGTACATTGGGAATCAAGAAGGCTTCTTAAAATATGCCAATAAAGGATTTGATCATAAAGACGTAAGAAGGATAAGAAATCCAAGGAAAAAGGAAATATAATCTCTTTTTAAAAGAGGGTAAGATACGGTAATATTGTAATTACTCTATATATAACTCTGGAAGCGACACATCTATAAACAGAAAAATTTTTTTATTACAAACTAGAGGCCCAGTGCATGGATTCCTGCACCGGTGGGGTCCCTTGGCCTGGCCTGTGGCTCTCTGACATCCCCTGAGGGGTCCCAGATTGCGAGAGGGTGCAGGCCAGGCCAAGGGACGCCACCGGTGCACGATCAGGGCCAGGGAGGGTCCACAGGAAGGCTCCAGGGTGTGCGCCCAGTCCCGATCGGCTGGACCCCAGCAACAAGGTAACCTACCAGTTGGAGCATCTGCCCCCTGGTGGTCAGTCCACGTCATAGCTACCTGTCGAACGGTCGAATGGTTGCTTAGGCTTTTATATATACAGATGAGCTAATTCAAGGTGTTACTGAATAATTAATATGGATAAAATGTAAAAATTCAACAAATTACTGCTTGATTTTGTTTTAGAATATTATATCGTCACATGCAAAATCAATGCATTAAAATAATCACCTAAAAAGAAAGCACATCTTGGGAGGACAAATAGTCACCTAAACCTTTTGTAAAGGACACATGGTAGACAGACTTCTCAGATGGTCCCCAATAACCACTGTCTCCTAACCAACATCCACAAGAAAGATGACATGGTGCCATTTTCATGATCAGTTTAAAAATGCCATCTTCCTAGCAGACTCCCTCTATTGCCTTCCTAGCTTGCATGCTCCGAAGAAGCAAGCTACCATGTTGGACAGGCCAACACGGCAAGGAATGGAAGGTGGTCTTCAGCCAATAGCCAGTGAGGATCTGAGGCTTTAGTCCAACAAACCTGCGGAACCGAATCCTGCCAACAACCCATGCGCTTGGAAGCGGCTCCTTTCCCAGTTGAGCCAACACTTTGCAGCCTAGGAGTGACCTTGAAGCAGAGGACTTAGCGAAGCTGATCCACAGAAACTCTGAGATAATAAGCATTTTTAGGTCATTTGTTTCCTGGCAATGGATAATGGATAACTAATACAAGGCCAGGCAATAAATACTGTAGGCTTGGAGAGCTATACGGTCTCTGTGGCAACTATTCAACCCTGCAGCGGTAGCAGGAACGCAGCCAGAGATGACAGCAAATGAAGGAGCACGGACGGCTGTGTTCTGA